AGAACATGGCACCCTCGAAGTACCAGGTGTCAGGTGTGAGGCCGTCAGTCTTGTCGTCCGTCTGCAGCAGGGCCTGCAGCTTGTCCCGCTCAGACAGGCGCGGGGGCTCAGGGTCATCCCGGCTCTTGACAGGTACGTGCATGGCGTTCCAGACGACGAGGCGCTTCTTGGCCTTGATGGCCGCCATCTGCAGCAGGCGTGTGTTGAGGCGGTGGCGCGGGGCGTTGCGCTGCAGTACCACTCGTGGGTCTTGGTGCGCGATGTCCGCCAGGTCCTTGATGGCCTTGGCGTTGAGGTTGGTGACCAGCTCGTCGATATCCTCTGGCGTGGCGAGTCTCTGGCCGTTGAACATCTGCGAGAGCTCCGTGAGGCGTCGTCCTGAGTCAGTGGCTGACTGCCGCTGTTGCTTGGTGAGGAAGAAGACATCCTCCACAGCACGGTAGAGTGTGAAGCCCGCAAGGATGAGGTCTTGTGTTGCAGGCGCCTTGGCCCTGGGGCGCGGTGTTTTTTTCTGCGATACTGGAGAAGCTGTGTCGCCTGTTGTCTGGGCGACCATGGCTAGGGCGGCCTCAGCTACTGGCGGCGTGAAGAGCGGGTTGTCCAGAAGGGAGCGCGCCCAGCTGTAGACCGGCTTGCCGTTGGGCTGCGTGTGCTGGTAGATGTCGCCGATGAGGCAGAAGGGACGCCCCCTGAACGCCTGGCGGGCGGCATCATCTGTTGCAACACCGATGGTGTCGTCCAGGGACTTGTTGCATGCGTGGTTGCAGGCGCCCAGGTGCTCGAGGCTGTTGTAGCCAATCTCGTCAATGCAGATGGCCCCTGTGCCGACATTGGCTTTCACCTGTGAGGGTGGCGGCGGGGAGATCATGGCATGGAAGGAGGGGTTCGCAGGCATGTGTACATGAGGGTGGGGGTGCCTGCACAGTGCAGCAGGCAGGAGCAGGTGTTTGGATAGAGCAGGGCCACACCTGGGCAGTGGCATTGGCCTTGAAGCGGTTGGGCGGTATGAGCTGGAACATGGAGTGGGTGGAGAGGGACCTGTGGACGGGCGTGGTGAAGGGCAGCGCGGCCGTCCAGGCAAAGGCGGCGGTGGCCAGCCAGTGTGGCAGCTGGTGCTGATAGGTGTACCACAGCAGCGCGTGCACGAACTGACTTTTGCCTGTGCCGGGTCCGCCAACGATCAGGAGCCGTGGGGGCTGCGGCTGGTTGGGTGAATGGCGGGTGTTGAAGTAGCGTGCCATGAGCATGAACGGCACGGCCTGTTCAACGGACAGCGTGAAGAGCTGGATGGTGTCCTCGATGGTGGGTGGCACGCGGAGCGGCAGGTACGGGGGCAGGGAGCCAGGTTGTAACACGGTCTCATCATCCGCTTCACCCGCCTCAGTAGCGGATGCTTGGGTCACCACAGCCAGCACTGCGTGTTGCTGGTGTCGCAGCTGCAGTTGCAGCTGTGAGTCCTGGCCAGGGTCCAAGTTCATACTGTCTGTGACGGCGCCCCCCAGCTGGCCGCCAGCTGCCTCGAACATCTCCAGGGCCCTGGTGGCACGCTTGATGGCTGCTACTGCGTCTGCACTGCCGTGGCGTATGAAGCCCAGCTGACCAGCGTGTTGTCCGTCCACTAGGGGCGGTGGTCGGCACCGATCTGCCGCCTTGTGAGCGTAGGAGTCTTCTGAGGAGGCAGTGGGAAACAAAGTGGCAAGGTCGGCGGCGTGCAGGTCGAACTGGCTGAGCTCTGGCGGCCTGTCGTCTGCTGCATCATTGAGGTTGAGTGCTGGGATGTGGTGGTCGCCGTCGTCATTGTCACTATTGGCGGGGTCTCGGCGGCGCACACGTAGGGGCTCGTCCTCATCCTGCTCGCTGTCAGAACTGTCGCTCCCCGAGTCCGGGCCAACAGGCAGGCCGCGGGCACGGCGTTGCCGCCGTAGTTTGTTGTAGGCCTCTCGTGCATAGTCACGGCACTCATGCTCCGCCTCCAGGTTGTCCAGGACAGACATGATGAAACCAGCCATGTCTGGTCCAGCCTGCGGCAGGATGTTATCCCGCCAGTCAAGGTATGCCTGGCGCAGGGTCATCCCCGGTGGGATGGGGGTGGTGCGGTAGGCCTTGAAGGTGGAGAGGACGAAGGCGTAGTAGCGCCGTGCTGATGGGCTGTCATCAGGACTGGACAGCTGGGGTGTCGGGGGGGAAGGTGTGGCTTGAGTCCGGCCCATCAAGCTCAGAAGCCACGAGCCTCCACCTGCAACTGTACCTAACCGCCGACGTCCTGCATGATGTCAGGAAGAGGATTACTAGTCTACCGCCCATAAGGAGATGGAGCAACATCACAGGCATCAGTCCCAACCAGGACTCCTTACCGGAACCAGAATTGTCCATAGAAATGGCCAGTCAGACTGATGTCGCGACAGGTTATCCTCCTATCCTCAAGAACTGCAGTTGAGGGCCATAGAACACAGTACATCGATACAAGATGCATGTATGTTCCGCAGCACCGCTGTTTGGTAGAATTTTATCCTGAATCCGTATGATAAATTTTATCCTAAAATTAATAAATACACTCGAGGGCCAATGGCACACATTACTTCTATACAACAACTGTGCTGCGCAGCATCGCTGGTTGATAAAATGTATTCTGAATCCGTATGATTCTATAGAATTTCTGCAACTGAATATATCCCGGGGAATGATGCGGTGTGCGTGACTTCACGCCATTTCGTGGCGGTTGGCTGTGTTTTCTGCGACTGTATTTTATCCCGGGGAATTTCTGGAACTGTGTTTTATCTCGGTGAATTTCTGGAATTTCTGCGACTGTATTTTATCCCGGGGAATGTTGCGGTGTGCGCGACTTCACGTCTTTTCGTGGCGGAGCCGTTGTAGTCTAGTTTTCCACTGCAAGTCCTATCCCACAGTGGAACTACGTGGATATACCCACAGCCACGCCCAGCATACCCGGTTATCCTGATATTTTGTGATAAACGTTTAACCTTGAAAGTTCATGTCAAACAACACAACTACGCGCGTCTGTTGTTCGTTACCCACCACCGCACCCAGTCGTCCCCATGGCCTGACGGCCCAGTATCCACGTGTCCCCGCCCACATATTCACGGTACACATGCACGCGTCCACGCCTCATGCACACGCCCATGTTACATCCTCATGTCCCGCGTCCACGCGTCCATGCTACATCCACGTGTGGCTACATCCACGGTGCCACGGTCCCATGTGCCCATGTGCCCACACGCTCACGCGTCCATGTGCCCTTGCATCCTCGCGTCTTCACGTCCTGGTGTCCTCGCGTCCTCGCGTCCTCGCATCCTCGCGTGCAACTCGCGTGCGACCCGTGATTTGAACCCGCGACCTGTCGTCCTGGCGTCCTCGCGTTTCGGTGTGCAACTCGAAATTCGCGGAGTGCGACTCGAACCCGCGACCTCTGATTGTGAAGAGGGGGCGTGCTAACGAAAACCCAAAGCTCCGGAACCATCCAATCGAGCGCGACTTTCCAACGAGCTCCGGACGCGAGCCGGTCACGGACGCGATTCAGAGATGCCTTCCCTCCGCTTCGCTCTTCGCTGCGCTACGAGAAGCTACGGTGACCGTAGCTTCGACTCCCAGGCCAGGTGTGGGTGTGTGGTGCGTAAGGTGCTGTGTGGTGCGTAGGTGAGAACGGTAATAATGTGGGGAAGCAGTGGCGAGGACTCAGTTACATTACATCTGTGATGGAGGGTGGCTTAGTAGCAAGCCACAGCCAGCAGTGCCGTAGCAGAAGGTCATTCTCAAGGTTCACGTCTGGCATCCAACAGCAACGACCCATAACAACAATCGATGAGGGGCCCTGATAGCAGCACGGCACAAGGAATGTCCGCGGATTGTGAGCGGTGAAGTGAATAATGCCGCCTAGGCTCGCATCACACTAATTGCATGAAATCACCGCGGTGGCAGCATCGTCAGCAGCGGAGTAACAGCAGTCTGCGCGGACGATCCTGCATTTGATGGTCGTCATGAGCAGAACCCAGCTATTGCCACGCCCTGGACGCATGCTTGTGTTCTCGTGTTCTAGTGCCGTTGCATTCTCACGTCTGGGCGGGTGCCTGTCCTCACCGCCTCACTGTAGTGCATACATGGGGCCGTGTCGCATCCCCATGATGCATGAGTACAGTCCCAGTCTGTCACGGCCCCAGTTGTCGCATCCTCACACCTCACATCTTTGTTGCATCCTCACACTTCACATCCCCACCATACATCCTTGTCACATACATGTCTCACCGTCACACCTCACATCTCACATCCTTGCGTTCGGCAAATATTTGCAGTACTACACGTACGGTTTCATGCGGTCATACATTCACGTGCACACACGTTGTGTGTACTCGCGGTCGCATGCCCTGGTGCTTCACATTCACGGGTGTATGGTGCTTTGTGTACGGCATGTGCGGCTGAAACCGCATATTAGGAATGTGTAGTATAGCAGCACCGGAGCGTTGCATTGCAAAAGTCAGCCATCATGCAGGGCACTGCGAAGAGATGCAGTTCCTCACCACGGGCCGCCATGTAACAGATGCAGATGTGGAACACGGTGCCACAGAAGCAGTCGGGGTTGCTCTGCCGCTTGTCGCCAGGTTTGAAACCAAAAAGGATGTCCATGAAGGCGAGCTTAACCGTGTTGAGGAGTGCTTGGCTGGTGTAGGGGTTGTTTCGCACCCGCCACCACTTGTCCATGACACACTCCTCCCACAACGGAGCACCATCCTCGCCAAATTCCAGAAACTGCCCAGCGGCCACGACTGCAGCCGCACTGTGCAAGTCGGCGGGGTTGACATTAAACATGAGGATTGGCAGCCCGGTTGCGGTGGCTACACCACGTAGATTGGCGTGCACGTTGTGGTAATATGCATCTGTCATGTCGATGCGTGCGACTGTTCGCCGAAGAGAGGTGACGAGGGTGTGCACGAGAGGTTACATGTCTTGGAGCAGGTGGCGGCGATCCGGGTGCATCTTCGGCAATGCCAGGATGTCCGCCATCGCTTTGACAGCCTCTCGCGGGATGGCGCCCACCGTGTCGATGTCCTGCTGGCAGCACTTCACTGTAACCCATGTCTGCACTTTTGCGTCCTCCATGTTGAGCACATCCACCATGCGGGCGAGCATGAGGAGGTTGCCGCTGTGGCACACGCGTAGACACGTGCTGGAAGAAGGTCCGGTTGCTCATACCCAGGGGACGGAGGCCGCCCTTTG